CGTCCATTTCTGTTCTCATTGCCATCATGATAGTTTAGGCTTTCTCATATCTTACCTACAAAACAATAATCCCCTCACTGGTCTCCCTGCCTCTAATTTCTCCTCCAATCCATCCAGCACAAACTGTCAGATTAACCTTTTTTTTTTTTAGTTCAACTAATATTTAAATGACTACTAAGTGACAAGTGCCAGTGTTAGTACTAGTGCTAGGAGTAAGTATACAAAAATGCATAGGACATGGGCCTTGTCCTCAAAGAGCTTATACAGTCTAGCAGCAGAAGGAAACATATAAATAGATAATTATAGCATAGTGAGTCATAGGTGCTCTTTCTAAAGACAGTACTATGCCAGCTATACTTAACTGGAAACTGCCTTTAACCCCTTTCCATTTACAGATTCATTTATTAGGTGACTTTGTTAATTCTTTAGGGCCTGAGGGGATGAAGTAAAAGACAGATTTTGATGAAAAATGAAAGGTGGCTGGAGACAGCATGAGGATACTGAACATAAGAGGGTGAGGCTAGAGAATGAGGTGCCTGGGGAGATTAATCTAAGCAGGAGCCTCTCCTGCTCACAGGCTTTTAAAGAAATCCATATTCTTTGCTGATATTCAAGGCCTTTCACAATCTGACCCCAACATATCTTTCTAGCCTTCTATTCTAGTATTTGACCATACCCTCTTCTTTCATTAAACAAGACTCTCCAACCGTACCATGTGTTTTCCTGCAACATGCCTTTCCTCAAACCATTTCTTCTGCCTGGAATACCATTCCTTCTCCTGTTGCCTGACAAAACATTATTCATTTTTCAAGACCGAGCACAAGTGCCACTACCCCTCTGATCACCATGGCCCAAAACTAACACTAAGAGCCCTATCTTTAAATCACTCTTTCATGTCAGAATCCACAAAGTGTTGAATTTAAATCACTCTTAAAATTTATTATACGTTGCCTTGTATTAAATGTATTTGCATAATTGTCTCATTACCCTAGGCAGTAACATCTTTAGGCAGAAGCCTTGGTATTGCCATAGTACCTCATAGAGAATATGAGCTTAATAAACATTTGTTGAAAAAATGAGTAAAAGAATCACTAAGTAAACTACTATTAGGGGTCAGTGGTGCTTCAGAGGTAGAATTCTTGCTTCTATGCAGGACACCCGGGTTTGATTCCTGGCCAACGCACCTCAAGCACAGCTACATTCTGTCAATGGAAGCTTGACTATTGCTATGATGTTGAACAGGCTTCAGTGGAGCTTCCAGACTAGGAAAAAAGGCCTGGCAATCTACCTCTAAATCTACTTCCAAAAAAAAACAAATCAATGAATCAGAATGATCCATTCGCATTGTGCGTGGGGTTGCCATGAGTCGCGATGGCAGCTAACAACAAGAAATGACTGCTATGAGTTGGGCACTATGGGAGACAAGAAGGTAAGATGTAGTCCCTATTCTCATGGGTCTTACACATTCTTTTATGAGAAAAGATGTGATAATCTTAGATATTAGAGGAAAAACAAAGAGGCATTTTAAAACAATAACTACAAGTAGCTACAATATATTAAATATCTACTATAGACTAGGTACTCAGCCAGGCTCTTTACAAACAAGATTTTACTTAAATTATCCGATCATTTCTGAGAAGTAGGTGTCATTATCTTCATCTTATAGTGAGCAAGCTGAGGTTTAGAGAGGTTAAATAATTTGCTCAAGGTCGTATCTACTTTGGGGCAAAACTAGGACTCTTTCTTATTCAAGTCTAACTCTAAAACCTGTAATCATTCCACCATGCCATGCTTCTTTCCTGGATGCAGCTACAGAAATAGTTTACAACAAAAGTTATTGTTTCATCTAGGAATCCCACTTCTAGGAAAACATCCTAGAGAAATAAGAGCTGCCAAACAAATAGACATATGCACACTCGTTAACTGTAGCATTATTCACAATAGCAAAACGACAGAAACAACCTAAGTGCCCAACAACAGATTAATGAATAAACAAACTGTGGTACATACACACAATGGAATTATACTCAATGATAAAGAAACAATGATGAATCCACAAAACATCTCACAACATGGATGAATCTGGAGGGCATTATGCTGAGTGAAATGAATCAATCACAAAAGGACAAATATTCCATGAGACCTCTGTTATAAAAACTCATGAAAAGGTTTACACACAGAAAGAAACAATCTTTGATGGTTACAAGAGAGGGGAGGGAAAAACACTAACTAGACAATAGTTAAGTGGCAACTTTGGTGAAGGGTAAGACAGTACGCAATACTGGGAAAGTCAGCACAACTTAACCAAGGCAAAGTCACAGACGATTCATAGACACATCCAAACTCCCTGAGGGATAGAATTACTGGGCTGAGGGCTAGGGACCATGGCTTGGGGGACATATAGCTCAATTGGCATAGCACTGTTTTATAAAGAAAATGTTCTACATTCTACTTTGGTGAGTAGCGTCTGAGGTCTTAAAAGCTTGTGAGTGGCCATCTAAAATACATCTACTTGTCCCACCCTGTCTGGAGCAAAAGGAGAATGAAGAAAACCATAGACACAAGGGAAAGATTCATCCAAAGGACCAATGGACCACAACTATCACAGCCTCCACAAGACTGAGTTCAGCAAACTAGATGATGCCCTGCTACCACCACTGACTGCTCTGACAGGAATCACAATAGACGGTCCCAGGCAGTGTTTAGTTCTGTTGTGCATAGGGTCGCTATGAGTCAGAACCGCCTTCACAGCACCTGACAACAACATTGTGGCCTTTTGCCTTGGTTCTTTGAAAAAACAGCTTGAGATTTTTTTCCCCTAAGCCCTAAGGAGTTACCTTTGCCCTAGTTTTCTACCCCAGAGGGTTTGTTACTTTTGTCCAGGTAGATTGACAATTCCTGGGTAAGCTGTAAACAACTTGGTTTAATACTTTTTATCTGGTCCTGGGCTGCATCCTGATTGCTATGCACCTTGCAGGGATTGGTCAATAGACTCTACACATGAAGTGTCTGTAGCCCACTATGCAAATGAAAGTGTCTGTGGCCTACGGAGAGGGGACTGGTCAGTTTGTGGCTCTGCAGTTTCAGGGCCATGCCTTGAAATTGATGTGGAGTTTGTGTATATAAGCAGCCAAACTCATAGAGGTTTTTGAGTTAGAAAAAAGCAGGAAGAGAAGCAGCATGAAGAAGCAGAGAAAAAGATAGGAGGCAAGGAACCTACTAAAAGACCTGTAACACAGGTCAAGGGCTATAACACTGAAGACAGTGAGAGGCCTGGAAGGGCCCAGCAGGAGAGCTGGTGGTGACAGGCCTAGAAGGGGCTGTCCTGAGGGGGCCAAGAGGAGGAGGCCTGTCCTGTGAGAAAGTGAGAGAGGAGAGAGAGAGGAGAGAGAGAGGAGAGAGAGAGGAGAGAGAG